AAGAGCAAGGCAAGGTCTGTTTCTGGAGGCCTTAAGAAAACAACTCACAGAGAGAAGCAGAAGGAAGAAGCATATCCAACAGCACTGTCAGCCCTCAGCATGCACCCTCCAGAAGTTCAGCATGCCCAGTACGTCTGGCTGCTTCCATAAGGGCAGTTTCCCTTCTTCTTTCCCTCAAAGCTAGTGGTGGAGGCAATGAAGTCACCTCAGCAATCTTCTAAAGATTGCTTCCCAAACTTGGGTATTAGTTTTCAGGGTAAGAGCTTCATAGTACTTCAGGTTTTGACAGAAATTGACTAAATAGAAAAAAAAACTTTATTTTTCCATTTGATCATATTTTGTGTTTTAAGGCAAACGTATTTTTGACCCACAGAATAATGCTTATAAACATTAGCAGCAAGAATACTGTATAGAAAGCAATTGCAGGCACAATAATCCACAGTAACTTGGTCAAATAATGAAAGTTGCCCTTCACATTTTCTAAGGAAAACGGAGTTCAGAAAGTGGAAGAACTGATGAACAACTTTAGTTCATGTGCACGTCATTCCCAAAGAGATATAAATTTATTTTCTATGTCAGATGCAAGACTGAAGAAGAGATCTTCTCTTAAATGACTAATTGTATCTAAATGCTAAAGTTACAAACAATATCCCAGAAACATTGATGCAGGAAAGTTTGCCCTCTGTCTCACACGTTTCATGCAAGGTCAGAATGGCTTAACCTTCAAGCCTACCGATGTCTCACAAGCAAAATCATACATGCATGTGAATGCACCTGAGGTACTATCCGTGCAGTTTGAGGTAGACCAAAATACAAATTGAGAGCTGAAGTGGAATTCAATATTAAAACCACATCCATGAAATACTTTCTTTCTAAAAGAAAATAGATTAATCAATGCCATGTACAAATGTAAAGAACCATTTTCCCTCCTGTCTTCTGCTGCTGACAGTAAGAGGCTGATCTTCAGATCCCTACCACTCTACTGATGAAATTGTCAAGTCTTTCTTTCCCTGGTTCATCTTCTAAAGGCAGATAAGACAGGCAGACTTAGTGCACAAGTAATTTTTGTAGAAACAATCCTAATGCCAGTATCTACTCCTCGCTTTAAAAGGAAAGCTTATAGCAGCACTGATGACAAAATTTGCTACCACATTACCCACCTAATCAAAGGCTGATACATGGAATAGACTGAACTTGAAAAAGTCTTCCAGTGAGATACTAGTTCAGTGAAATCTTTGTCCACTGAAGACATCTCAAGTTTGCCCAGTAACATAAAGATTTCAACGTTTCATCCCAGTAATTAAATATTCTCATCTTCCACTTCTGCAACTCCAGTCTTGTAAATAAGTGCCATCATATAACAGATATAAACCAAGAAATTTCCAAGTACATGACCACTGGACTTATGAGAAAATCATACTAAGAAAAGGGCCAGTTGAGCTATAAGAAAATCCAAGGGATTCATAAAAACCATCTTAACATGACGCCCCAGACACTGTAATGAAACTTCATTTAATTGTGCGTGATCAAACCAGCTGAGCTATATATAGTTGTTGTCTTCGCTGCCCATGCATTTTAATTATAATTGTTACCAGCTCCAAAAGAAGATAAAGGCTACAGTGAAGGCATACAAGGTCATCACCTTCTCTCTACACCTCTTAAAGAAAACTTCCTTTATCAGCTTCTAAAACTTCAAACACAATTCCTTTATGTACATTAATAATTTTAAAACTTTGTCTTTAAAGATACAAAGGATATGTTAAATCAAAGTACAATTGAATATAGCAGATACTGCTTTATTTTTCACGTATTATTCTGAAATTAATGGAATACTAGAATTAGTTAAACAGAATTAAAAGAATTATCAGAGCAATTCCAGGAAAGACCCTACAAGACAAATAAAAGTAAGCAGGTTACACTCAGATCACCAGCACGCTAAAACCAGTAAGTAGTGCAATGGCCAGACTCATGTCTCAAGTCAGACTGCAAGTTTTGCTCAATGCTTCCAGACATCTGCTGAATCATTAGAAGAGCAACTGCCACACAGAGCCCAGTACTCAGGGGGCAAAAAATGACAGCATGTAGTACCTAGCTGATCAGCAAAACAGAGTCAAAGCAGTGATTTGCTTTTATCAGACACCTGGTTTGTTTTCAAAGCAAAAACAAAGTTGCAGATCATCTGTTCCTCTAAGTAATTCAGAGAGCCTGGCCTTCAGAGAAATGTTTCAACAGAATAAGATGGCCTATTTTAGGGTTATTTAACCATGTGAAAAGGAAAAAAGTTTAAAGGCATAGTACATTTTCCTCAGCATGCAAAGAACCTGAGCACCTACCCGTCCTCGTTCAGTGAGAGTTGTTAACATGATGATCAGTGACAACTTGTGATCCCAGACTACTTGCCAGAAGTGTGCACACGTGTGTGGAAGAGGCCCCTGAGTAGCAATGTACCTGTTCACAATGCCCACAGAAGGAATTTCCATCTATAAAGAGAAAGAAAAATCCTATGTAAAGTTTGATCTCACTACTCAAAGCACTATTTTATTTCAGCATTTCACTCCAACAGGAAGTTTTGAAGTAAGATTAAGACAGCAAACTGAGTAGTAAGACAATCAAGATCAGTATTTGTAATGGGAAAAATCTTTAGGTATTTAACTTAAACCAGACGTACACTATAGATATTATAGTCCTTCATGCTGAACTAAGAAGAGAGGATTAATAGAGATAACATACCTAAAAACTTGAAACTGCAAAGCTTTCCAAATTTTCTTTAATCTTTAGTAAGGAATAATGGCAAGGTATACCAAAGTTACACTAGTGAAAGCTGTTTATTGCCTGATACTGGACACAGTAAGTTAATAGTTGATTCTGTGATTTACCTGCTTAAGTATCTGACAAACATTATATATATTTTTTTTTAATTTCATTTTATTTTTCCCCTTTTCTCCCTGTCTCTCAGCCTAGACACATGATAAGGTCAAATCAGGGCTCTGTTTTGTCTTCTGGAGCCGTCATAGCACAGTTGGTAGGCCAGAAGTGTTTCTAGAGGAAAAACAACTTAATTTTAAACTATAAGAGACAACCTCAACATATGCAGTGTATAGAAAGGTAAAACAATTTGTACTGGCTCAAGACTCTGCATATATCACAGTGTACACCACAAATATCAAGATGGCCTCTTGTTTCACAGGAGACAATCTTTTACATTAAGAATCTTTACATTTTTTACAAATCCCTAAAATACAAACCAAAACCCCCTTATTCCTTAAAAAGGCTAAATTTAGTCTGCTATTCTTATACAGAAAATGATCAAATGCAGGTCTCTATATGACTTACATTCACATAATTTGCATTAATGTAATCTTCATCTCCTTGCAATATTATTCTTGTGGCATCATCTGCACACGTAAAAAAGAGAGAATAAAATTAGCAATTAAAGGGTATGCTTCCCTTCTATTAAGTCAAAAAACTGAGAAAGACATGCAAACAACAGACAACAAACCAGAATAGATTGTTTTACAAATTAAAATGAACAATTATGCGATTTTGATTATTTTAATCAAGAAGTTCAATGCAGTAGTTTTATAAGCTATCATTTAGGGGATAAAGCAAAATAGGCAGAAATTATACTTAATACTCACAAGGCAGAACATCTTTGTATCTATTCTTGTCCATATTTTGAGGTACCTTCGCACATGTAACAGCCAGCCCTGGTTTCTTTCTATAAAGTTGCTGTAAAACAGAATGAAAAATGGTAGGACTTCATGGGATGTGATTATGCTATACACACACTAAAAAGATTCACAAGAAAACACATAGAATGACACAAATATCATAAGCTATCTTTTTCTTAACCATCTACAAAATTCATCTGAGATAAATTTGTATTTAACATTACAAGAATTTGTTATTTCCATTATTGATAGTCCACCATCATCTCTAGCAGAATGTTTAGGAAAATAAAAAAGAGGAAGAAAATGTGAGGGTTATTGATATAAACTGTTTCCCTTTAAGACTGTCTTTTTCGTATACAACTGTGGGACAGAAGAGAAACAGCTGAGGGTGGAAGAAGCAAGCAATAAAAGATCAGAAAGTAAAAAAAACCCAAACAATTGCAGTGGCATTTTCTGGAGTCAACTGTAATACAAAAAATCAGACAATTTTTTATTCTCTGGACTAAATCCATCACACTCAAATCCTGGAAGTACCTGATAAAAACAGAACTCCAATATATCACAATCTCTTAACGGGTGACTCTCTTTGGGGCCAACCTCTATCTCGCAAACTTTATCTGGAGTAAGCATAGGCATACAACAACAAAAAATGGATAAATGTAATTATGTAACAACAGTTTTTCCATATTAAACATACATGAAAGCATCTTATATCAGATTTAACCTAGCTGTGCCAGGGTTCTATATACTTCACTAAAAACTTAAAAGCTCAGTATATCTTACATGTTTAATGGAGATTAAGAATATAGTTCCATACATAAAATGGAATGAAACAAATAGGAAGCTAAAATACTCTACTTTAGTTGACAGAAAAAGAAAAACGCAAAAAGTTTAATACTCTACTTCAGTTGACAGAGAAAGAAAAACGCAAAAAGTTTATTCTAGCGTGAGATCTACTGAATCCTAAGACTTTCTATCACAGCTCATCATGTTTTTCAACTTGAACAGCATAAACAAACCATGTGAGAAGAGAACTTGATAATATATGTAGCAGAACAGCTTCCATTAGTTATAACTCACGTTTCATTTTAGCAGAGCCAAGTTGCAATTTCTGCTTTTTTTTTCAGAGACAAGAATAATTTTAACATTAAACAACAATTCTGGACCTTCAATCATAGTTGCCTGGCAAAAAGTCATTTTCTGTTGACAGACATCTTAAAATATGCTTAAATAGAGGACAATATTTTGGAAAAACTTAATTATTCATAGTCTACTGGATAAGTATTTACTCTTACTAATGCGAATGGAGAATTTGAGAGCCAGCAAAGCTGATGAAGCGAAGCTGCAATTGTCTCTGCTTTTTAAGACCACTAAATAAAGAAGGTCACTAAGCTGTTCCTTACTTAGTTTATAACATTTCTAAAAGGCTTTTCACGTAACATCAGCAATAACCTTTTACAAACACTCTCAAAAAAGTCATAAAGGATCAAATACCCTATGAAGATTATCAGAAGAAACTTCTGCAAGAATTTAGTCAAGAAGTTTAACTATTAAGAAGGTACTGAAAGCCTAGTTCATATTTTAAGGTACTGTTTCAATGGCAAACAGACTTATTACTGTTGCAGCATTGCATCCAGTGTTAGGGATTTTGGAAAGCAACTATGAGCCACAGTCTACAATTCGGTTAAAAAAAAAAAAAAAAGGGGAGGAGGGGCCAAAGGGGGTGGGAAACCTTAACTTAGAAATCTTGGAAACAACCTCAAAAAGAGCAGTTATGCAATAAGCAATACCACAACTTTTCAGCCATGACCATTAAATCTTACAGCATTTGAAAAAACAGCAAAGGAAAAAAAAATCAAAATGAGGAAAAACTGCATGCTGTTCTACAAGGTTTCAGCATTGGATGGGGTTACTCTGGAACTCAACAACGCGAAGTTTATAAATCATAGGTTTATAAATCAGGGTTTCTCCAAAGGTTGAATAAATGGTTTGATCCACAACAGCAAAACAGGCACAAACATACATACACTTGTACTCCCTTGCCATTATCTTTTGGACTTTCTTCCACTAACAGCAAAGGAACTAATTTAATGAACTATAAAAACATTTTATTACTTTTTCTATGACATTCTTTGCCAACATGTTAAAGAATATGACAAACACTATGTTTATTAATCAGCAGTTCTTCAAAGTCTCATCCTATACACAGGGGAATCTCACCTGCAAAGTAATCTGCCCTAGAAGTAACCACTAGTGTTTTAGATTGCCAGGGGAAAACATAACTGAACATTACAAATGTCCTACAAATAAAAATTAGCATTCCAACACATTCATACCAGCCTCTAAGAGAAGAAGATGGGGAACGATCAAGTTGCTCCTGTTATTCCGTGAAAGGCAGCAAATTTGAACCCTAACTTAAGGTATAAAAGGTGTTTTAAATGTCACCAAGCAGCAAGAAACAAAGTACAAGACTGACCTCTGTCAAAACTCCACTGTTCTATTCATTAAAATAATTGAGAAAAAAATATTAGTTTATTGAGCTCTGGGTACTTCAAATGGAAACATGTTAACTAAAACATATTTTTCTCATCAGACGATGTTTTATGCAGGACTGATAACTCATTCTTCCCCACCCTAACTAGGTAAGGGATGAAACCGATGGGCAAGTCACATTATTGCTCTCTTGAGACAAGACTGAATGGGAGCAATGAGGTTTCCAATTAAGTCCTTACATTACTTGCTGGTCTCAACTACTGGTCTGTACTAACAGCATTTGAGAGTTGAGTATTACCTACCTCAAACTGAATAAGGACAGTCCCACTTTCCAGCCCTCTCTTTAGCTGCTCCATAGACTCCTCCAGTGTATCACCACCGTATTCAGAACAGATAGGAAGAAGAGGTTCTGGGAGATTGTGGGAATCAGCTTCGTCTTCCGATTTAGGCTCCACAAATTGTTTAACTACTGAAAGATGTATTGAAAGTTAAAATCTGTTACAAACAGCATTAATGCATTTGCAACACATTAAAATTCACCGGCTTGCGAGAATAACAGTTTGCAAAGACAGGCCTTCAGGAAAGCAAATAGCAACACATTTAACTGCATTTCCTTATGTACCGTATTACTGCAGAAACTACTAAGAGTAAAATGTCCTCTGGACCTTTTGGGAAATTAAACTCCTCAAACCGACTACTTAGGAAAGCAAAACACTTGGCTGCCAAACACACAGAGTATTTTTGTTACAATGTTATCTTACAGAATGAACTGCTGAATAGGCTAATGAATCACAACATCCACCACCGCAAAAAATGAGTAAGTTTTGCGTAAAAAAGGCTTAGAGCATAATTAACAGAATATGTCTGTAAAAAATTTATATAAGTTTGGACACCCAACAGCAAAATGACCACAAACACACTTACGTTGTACTCCCTTGCCATTAGAGAAGAAACCAAATTCTCTTTTGTAATTTCTTATGCTAACATTGAAGAAACTAGCTTAATAAACTAAAAAAAAAAAAAAATTAGCTTTCTATGATGTTCCTTGCTAACATGTTGAAGAACATAACAAATATTAGTGAATTAATCTACAAAGCAGTTCCATCTCTGTGAAAGCCATTGTATCACCAGATGTGTCCAGCTGTGGTTATTCTCTGCAGTGATCAGAATGGCTCATACTTCCCAAACTTCAGAAAATGAGGAGCTCTTCATACTAATGTCTATACAAATGATGGGCATGAGGCCACAGGTTATCTTTAGCTAGAACTTCTCTTATCTGCAAGTAGGAAGTGAACTAGAAAAGGGAAGAATAAATACTGCACAGAGCCGGTAGGAATAACAGCAGCAGGACTGCTCAGGGGAAACAAGACCAAGAGCCCATCTGTCCTCCCAGAAACACAAAAAAATTTTTAAAAATAAATGCTCAAAAGTACATATCATTTAGGCAGTTTTCCTCCCTCCTGTTTCCCAGTGATGCATAATCCCTTCAGATTTTTAATTCTTAATGTAACCAGAAACTCTGTGCAAAGCTCTTCCATAATTGCGTGTGTTAAGGTCTTACCATAGCTATTAAGGAAAATAAATAATAAACTAGAAGATTCACATCATCTGAAGGTTCTTGGGACCTGCATGTGCCTAAATATGGAGCAAGCAAAATCAAACTGGATGGGTTCCCCGTATTTTAAATATACAGGCTTAAGACCCTGTATATTTCAGAGATTGTCTCTTGCTTGATGGCAGCAATTTAGCAATTAACCAGCACCAGGGCAACCTCAGTCGTGTCACAAAATGTCTATTGCGAGAATGGAAAGAAAGAAAAAAAAAATAGGAAGGGGGAAAAAAAAGCACACCAGCTTATTATTTGACTTGTTTCATTGTGTAATTGTGCAGGGGAGCAGCCTACAGGTATTTGTAAACCCACCACTGTGGATTTGGTAAATTATACTACATTAAAAATAATAACAAAAAAACCCCACAAACCAAAAACTTTTGCACAGGATGTTTGTTGTCGTATTTTTATACTTAAAAATAATAGAAATTCTAACTTGATAGATTTGTTGTTGCAGTGGTAAAAACCTGTATAGGTAAAACTACTTTTACTACTAATTCAAATGCAGGGACATCTACTTTTTACCATAAACCTATTCCCTATGCACTCAGAACACATTTATGTAAACAGAAAAGGGTATACCACCAAACATAACAGTAACAGTCTCAAAACCATTAACAATGAATAAAATTAGCTCAGTTACCTTTCCGTCTGACCAAAAGTGCAAGCTCTCTTGTGTGAGATTCTCTGCTGGCTTTTATGAACATGACCACCTGGTCATGTGTGTGCTCTGAGATATCTCGGCCATTAATTAATACTATCTGATCACCTTCATTCAGTTTTGGAACGCATTTATCCGCCTGTTTCAAGACCAAAGAAACACGTTAATGTCATTTCATCCAGCCACGTAAGCAGGAACACATCAGGATATTAATTTCATCAGGTAAGCAAAGTCTTCAGAGTTCTCCTGACAAGGTTCCATCTTCTGTATCAGCTCTATCAAGTGATTCAGATCTAAAGTTACATTGCTCGCATCAAAGTCTTTCCATGAAGATTAGAAACAGTTCAAACAGCATACTGATAGCTATAAAAAGAAGCCATATTTAACAAATAGTCATCATCAGATTGCTTTTAAAGAACTAAATTTCAGACTCCTAAGCATCAACAATCATTCATTATAGCCATTTCCAAATGCATTTCTGGAATAAGGGTTTTGGGCATGTAAGACAGCATAGTTCACTTATGTAGTGAATATTGAGAAATCCAAATATGATTTTGAGGAACTTAGTTTTATGTTACATGATATTCTGCAGGCACTTTGTTCACTGAAAGCTTTAACAAGAAAATGCAGGTAAGTACTCAAGCTATGATGTTCAAGTACCCTGCTTTTGCACCCTGTGCTTCAGAGAACACTAAACCAAAGTTTTCTCTTAGTACGTCTTGTCTCAAATGCAGCAATTTAGATTAACTGCTGAACTCCAGGATTTTTTTCTGCCTCACTTTTTAGTATGCTTAGGTCTAAGCCCAGTGCAAAGCAATTCAAGCTGTGGCCAGAATATGACTCTGATACTACAGAGATGATTAAGGGACTAGAGCATCTCTTAAGAGGAAAGGCTAAGTGACCTGGGAGTGCTTAGCCTAGAAAAGAAAAGGTTCAGTATATAAATATATGGATTTATAAGTATATAAATACTTAAAAGGAAGGTGTAAAGGATATGGAAACAGGCTTTCTTCAGTGGTGCCCAGTGAAAAGGCAACAGGCAATGGGCACAAACAAAGTAAGAGGCTCCATATGAACATCAGGAAACATTTTTTTTTTTTTCTGTAAGGGAAACTGAGCACTAAAGAAGGTTGCCCAGAGACATTGCCGAGTCTTCTGCCTTGGGGTATTCAAAAGCCATTTGGATATGGTCCTGGGCAACCAGTTCTAGGTGACCCTTCAACAAAGAGGGTTGGACAAGATGACCTGCAAGTCTCTTCTGACCTTCTGTGATTCTGTAATATGAATGTGCAGGACTCTGCACTCCTTGAGTGTCAAGTAGTGTAACAGTTTTATTTTCTATTTTTATTTTGTTGAGGAAGTACTCAGCTACACAACAGTGATATAGTTTCATATATATATATATACACACACACATATATATATATATATATATATACACACATACTCCATTTCACCTGTAATATGAATGAGACACAGACCTTTACTCTTATTCTTTATTCATAGTTGTTCCCTGTACTTCCTTGCACTGAAGGCTCCTAAGGGAAGTTTATCAGATATGTACTATATCACCAAAAAAAACAGAGAGAGATGGAAAGGAGAAGTCATACCAAAAGAACTAACAAAAAAGAAAAATGTAGAATGAAAAAAGTAAGATGCAAGGATATGAAGAAGAAAAATTGGAAGTCCTTTGTGTCAGAAAATAAAGTAAAAGGAAAGAAAGCTTAAGACGTGTTACAGTGTCACAAAACAGATAGAAGAGAACAGAAAGAAGAGAGAGAAAAGATATATACAAGAGGAAGAACTTTTTCCCAAAGAAATAGTGGAAGAAAATAGCTAAGGATAGGGAAGATTGACGAGGATCAATAAAAAAGACAAATGTAAACAGTAAAAGAATGAGGTTTAGGAATAGTCATGCTGTTCTTCAACACTAATTTAACTAGGTATCCACAGCTCCCCCCAAAACTCCTCTGCCATACTTTGTACAGTTTACAAAGGCACGACTGAAGAATGCAACTATGAATGTCTTATTGATTTAATCACTCTGAAAAGTTAATTTTTGAGATAGAAATTATTTTTCTGAAACAGGACTATTTGTGATAAGTGATTAAAGACCATATCAGGTCAGTCTGAGAGAGTCAAAAAGCAAAAAAAGAGCACGGAGCGAATGGTTTCTGATCTCCTATATCTGTCTATAATTTAGAATCCTTGGCTGGTTGCTGGCTATTATTCTTTATTACAGAAGGAGATTAATATCTTTGCTCAAAGAAACTTTGTTAATCATGTGGCATATTAATGCCTCAGCTCTCATGCTTGAATCATCTGACCATATAAAATATATCTTGAAGGAGAATTAATTCCTTCCATGTAAGCATAATTTGTAGATTTTTCAGATACTGAGCTTTTCCATACAATTAATTATGTCAAATGCTTCCTGTCCTACTGACACATCCAATGTTTCACTTTATCCTAATCACCTTCTTATTGCTCTGAGAAGCATGCATACTATTTTTCAGTGAGAAGCTCTATTAAATAAAAGCATAATGACTTCTTTAGCTCCTTAGGACATAAATACTGTTTGTGAAAGAAAAACAGTTTAGGACTTTCAATAAAAAAAAACAACCAAAAACAAACAAACAAACAAAACTCAAAAAAGCAAATAAACAAAACATGCATTAAATAGTTGCTCTTTAGACATAATACACTCCCAAAACAATTTTGGCTACTCTGTGCTACTGTGCTACAATCTTCCCATCATACTAGATCACTGCTGTATTAGAGAGGGATTTAAAAGTAACTTTAGGACATGAAAGGGAAAATGCTGCCTTATTTTGGTGAGCAGATTTGCTTATCCTTCTCCACAAAAAATACAGATCTTCTTGTAGGAAAGTGGAAAAAAGTGATCTAAAAACCTGAGAAATAATATTACCAGACAGCATCCCTAAGAACAACTTACAGAATAATGAGTGAATCTAAAGGAAGTTAAAATAGCAGCAAATAAAATGAATGAAAGGTATAACTGAGCTAAAATAACATAGAAATGGACTCCATAGCCTGCTTGAATTTTCAAGTATCAGCTACATTTCAGTAAGCAGTCAAGTACAGGTGAAATTCAGTTTACAGAAAACAATATAATCAATGTTAATACTGCTATGCTTTTAAAAGTAAGTATATTTTTTTTCCTCCTGCTGTAACATGATGCGAGTTCTATAATACTCCCCTTGAGAATACTGTATTGGATAACTGATTCCAATGTATTCCCTGACCCTGGACAACTCGCTCATTTGGCGGCTTAATAGGCTAGAGAGCTGATCGGTCACTATGCCTATGCCACTGACTGGAGACACTTAAATGAAGTTAACACTCCAAGAGTCAAAAAAATCAGATCAATACTTTCAGAAGACAATCTGCATCTGCCAAAGAAAATCACTGCCTCTGGAGAAGCATCTTTCATTCTCTGATTGCTGAATGAGCTGTTTGACCTACATTAGCATTAGTATCTCAAATCACCCTTAAGAAGTTTGATAGTTTGACCATGAAGGATTTTAAGTAATGTTTTATTATCACTTTGTAGATTTAATTTGTAACTATAATTTCCTTTTATTCAAATAATTATTGTACTTCATATAGGAGTGCTATGCACTGCGTAAGTCAAGCCACAAATCACGCGACAAAAAAACTTCTCAAATAATATTTTAGCTTAATTTACATAATGACAATTGGATAGCAGTCCTGTGACTGCTTCTAAAATTTCAGAAGACTCTACAAGACGTAAGTACATCAGATTTTTAGGATTAAATCAGTAGTATTTCCTATCAAGTTTGCACTGATTATTTTATAAGAGTTGAGAAATGCACTTTGGAAGAAGGTGAGTAAGAAACAATCTGAGATAACACACAACCTCACAAATCTGTGTTCTGATTCTTTAGGAAAAAAGTGACCAAGATGTCATATTACTACTACTATTTCACATTTTGACAAAATAATTCAATGGCTGTACTGATACTGATGAATAGTCCACATAGTCCATAAATAATTTCCATAGTTCACCTAGTCCATAAATAATGTCCATAAGTAAAAACATAGCAAAAGAAGAACAGAGCAAACACATTCTGTGTCCCTTCTCCCCTGCCAAGTATTCTTCCATCCTATAAATATTTTTAGCCCCAAGGATTTCCTCAGCCTATTGTATGTCTATTCAGTAACTGTCAGCAGATTTTTCCCCCAAGTATTTGTCCTCTCCTGACCATCCAAAAATTTTTTTTCATCACAGCATCCTTTTCAAGGAGTTTCACAGGCCTGCTATCTTATGTATAAAGAACTACTTTACTAAGTATGAAAAAATTGACCATCATTAACTTTTTGGTAGCCTCTAATTCTTCTGCTGGAATTCCCTGCTCACAGTGCTCCTAATCTTAGAGCTCTCTACTACATCTCCATTAAACTAGTTCTTTTTTCTAGGCTGCAGGGAGGTAGACTACTCACTTCTTTAACAAACACTGTTAATTATCTTCAGTCATCGTTCCTGCCCCTCACACTAGTTATAGGTGATAAATTTCTATGTGTATGAACCTCTGAGTGGTGGAGGATGTAATAAAGGAAGGGATTAAAAGTCTCCAAAATTTACTTACTGGTGATCCTGGAGTTATTCTTGATACCACTAATGGCATTTTTTGATCAACACCACCCTAAAGGAATGTCAAGTAAACAGCAGCCATAAATATATCATTAAGTATAAGCAGCATTTAAAACAAGTAATTACTTTTGTTTTTATATAAACTTTGTGCTCTGTCATCATAGGCAGGGCTGGTAAGATTAAATTTTCATGAGTAAACAGGGAGGGGAGGGTGCAGTAAATCTACCAATGTGCAGTAAACTAGATTCAGTGTCATTGCTCAGCCATATATTTTAATAGGCAATAAGTAGATCAATGCAGAATTTATTCTAACTCTACCCTTCATAAAGCTAAATTCAATCCTTGGACTTGCAAGGTGGACAGTGTTCTTAGATGTTGTGATGAACTGCAAGGGATCAGGTAGGATCAAAGTTGCCTTATTCTCTTTACATGACATTCTATCACTGTCCCAAAGATAAATGCCCAAGGTGAACAGATCAAACTCTGCCACGATTTCGATATTATGGCTACTTTACTTTATCTGCTTAAATGGAATTTCAGGGAGGGAATGTCCAAAATTTGTATTAGTCAACTGTCAGCAGTAATTTCCATTTTTTTCATGAACTGGTTTTCACCTTTCCAATATGTTCTTTAAATGGGTAGATATAATTGGATAGCATTAGCTATTTAACATGTTTCATAATACAGAGGTCCAATTTTCCAGAAATCAATGCCTTAGATTAGGTTCCCAAGTTCATATTTAAGCAGTCAAATAGGCAGTCCACTTTGAAAAAGTGCCATGACCATAGTATATGCAACTAAAAAACAATGAAGTAGTGGAGACTTATTTTATAAACGTTGCTTTAGCACTTAAGGACTTGGCTGTCACTTCCAAAAATCTCTCAGTCCATAAAAAATTCCTGTACAATATACTGCTTTCTCTAAAGCATTGCATTAAAAATGAAAAATAATCATAAAGTCAAAGCATAGTATCCCCACAAAGCAATTAAAAATACTATAAGAACACTATTTTACCTTCAGATTAAATCCAAACTTCCCATCTTCATCTGGTATGATACGCACCAAAAGTAAATCTCCCTCAATCAGGTCATTCTGCAAAATGTAGAAAAAATAAACAAAACCTTTTTTTTTAGTTTTTAAAAGAAAAGAGCAGGAAATTAGAAAATAGGGTCTCCAAATTTAGATACGCTGAACAAGTATACTCCACATAAAGCGACGTTTAAAATAGGAAGACACTAAAGTTAAAAACATCCTCATAATCGTAACATTTTAAATTGTAAAAATAATAACATTTAAATATGTTCTCTGCTTGCCCTGTCCTAACTCTGTTACTCTCAGCTTTCTTGACTGATACCTCCTACTACAACTTTCAGTGTGTTATCTTTACTAAAGGTGGGGTTTTTACCAAAGGAAGAAAACGTTAGGTGCAGCACATTTGAATCAATTCCACTCTAAGGACTTCAAGGAAAAGCGACTACTTTTCCCCTCAATTTTTCTTGGGTAAATGTGTGCATCGGTATCTTCTGCAAGAGATCCATAAGCGAGAAGATTAAAAGTCAGCAGCAGCTACTGGGCAGGCAAGCAGGTTAGAAAACTGTTCAGGACCCCTCCGGAACAGGCTGGAGAAAGCGGAGGAATACTATAAAGCTAGGAGGGAGCAGCTGCTCTCTGGTCGGTGCAGAATTCCAAGGATGATGTTTAGGTATCCTGAAGAGGAGATGCCTGGGATAAAGCAGAGTTGTGCCTGTTATCAAGACACATAGCAGCTTGAGTTAACTGATCCTTCCCCTTGGAGGAAATAAGATTTCATTACGTAAGGATTCCCATTTCACTGGGAACTTCCTGCTTCTGAATGCCTGGATACTATGGAGACAAATGCAGCTGGCAGACTGGCCTGTCACACTGTGTACATGACCTCAGATAAATCTGAGTAGTAAGACAAGATTTGTTCTTATTACTGCATAAAAAATGCTCATCCTGAAAAAATTCCACAGTTTTTATGCATTCTTAATCTACAGTTCAAAGCTCATTCAGTACCAGTTCCGACTTAAAAAAGCAAGCAACTGAACGCACCTTATCACAGTAGTACTGACTGGAATCTTCCGTTGAGCTACTTTTTGTAACGTTGTCGTATGTTTCCAAGAACTGCTTATCCATCCCTTCCAATGGGTAAGAGCCAGAGATGTTACCAACTCCATTGGGAGACTGAGTCAAGGCTTTAGGTGAGTTATGGGTCCGAGAACTCTGTGTTGGACTGTTTCCGAATACATTCCTTCATTTGAAAAGACAGATAAAAATGACAACGATATCATTATCCAGATTTTTAAACTAAATAGTAAAACATACTAACACACTGTCCAGTTAAAAGAGCAATCCAAGTTTATAGGTATGTTTAACCCCACTTCTTGGGGTGCAGAGTATCAGGATTGGAGAATGACCTAAGCCTCTCATTTGATCAGTGAAGCACGGACAAAACAAAACTACAGTAGCAAGAAAATTGTTAGCAAAATATTTGGATGTTAGCAGTGAAAGGCACTGGTGCAGTGGTGCAGGAAATCACAGTAACATGAAGAGAGCGGAACTGCAGGGGAAAGGCACTTAAATTGCCACTCCTACTCATGAAAACCTTTTGCCTTGATTCCACTCTCATTCTTGCAAAGTGCTTCTTTTTCATTTCTCCCTCTTAGAGAATCATAGAATCATTAAGGTTGGAAAAGACCTCTAAGATCGTCAAGTCCAACCATCAACCCAACAATACCATGACCACTAAATCATGTCCCAAAGTCCCACGTCTACCATGTCCACCACTTCCCTGGGCAGTCTATTCCAATGCCTCACCACACTTAGTAAAGAAATTTTTCCTAACATCCAATCGAAACCTCCCCTGGTGCAACTTGAGCCCACTTCCTCTTGTCCTACTGTTAGTTACTTGGGAGAAGAGACCAACATCCACCTTGTTACAACCTCCTTTCAGGTAGCTGTAGAGAACAAGAACGTCTCCCCTCAGTCTCTTCTTCTCCAGACTAAATCCCAGTAACCTCAGCTACTCCCTAGACATGTTCTCCAGACCCTTCTCCAGCTTTGCTGCCCTTCTCTGGATCTGCTCCAGCACCCCAATGTCTTTCTTGTACTACAGTGACCAAAACTGAGCACAGTACTCAAGATATAGCCTCATCAGTGCAAAGTACAGGGCCACAATCACCTCCCACCTCCTGCTGCCCTCACTGATTTTGATACAGGCCAGGATGCTGTCGGTCATCTTGGCCACCTGGGCACACTGGTGGCTCATGTTCAGCTTGTTGTCAACCAGCATCTCCAGGTTCTTTTCTGCTGGGCAGCTTTCCAGCCACTCTTCCCCAAGCCTGTAGCACTGCCTGGAGTTGTTGTACAGGACTCGGCACTTGGCCTCATTGAACCTCATACAACTGATCTTGGCCTGTTGATCCAGATCACTCTGCAGAGCCTTCCTACCACTGAGTAAATCAACACTCCCGCTCACTTTGGTGCCATCTGCGAATTTACTGAGGGGGCACTTGATCCCTTGGATCCAGATCATAAGTGCAGCATCAGCCTTAACCCTCTGAGACAATGTGGTTTGCACAAAAGCCATGATAAATTGTCAAAGAAACAGGAAACAAAGTCACAATGAAAGGTTTCATTACAGTTAATATATTCTGTCACTGAGGCAGTTACAACCATCTACAAGGACCCAGAATTAAACTGGGGTGCAGACCTGGCCCAGTGATACAAGAACTTTAAAATTTAAGGATAACAGCAGTGACTAAATACCTCAAATCTTAGATTTGGTCGAGTTGCCTGGTGGTGCTCCAGGACCTTTCAAATGTTGGTTTAGCTACATGTTCTCTTATGAAAAGGATGAGAAGCAAACCTCAAATACAACTAAATTCCTTCTTTAATTGGACCAGACTCACAGATACCATACAAACTAACTGCTCCATCTTGATAAATACTACACAATACATAAAATTTCTGTCCTGAGGAAAGCTCAGGTATAGTTTGGTCAGTTTTCTGTCACTAACACAGTGATGTGTATGGCAAAAAAATGAGTCCTGCTACTTGTGTTACCCCACTGCAGCCGGACCTTTTGCTTACACACAGCTCATCGTGCTCGGTGGCAGTATGTTTTGCAAGAGCACTCTGCATTGCTACTGACAACCCAGATCTGCAACAAAGCATACTTGATCCTTGGAAGCACATATGCTTGTTAGTTGCTCCTTACAGTTTATCCCTAAAAGCAACAACAAATTCTCACAGGGTTAAAGTAGCACAAGTATATGCAAGTAAAACCTGACATTAAAAGTAGTAAATTCAAACAATTCTGCTCTGGTACTACTCTAACTATATACGTGAGCTTTTCTGAATCATTTCCAGTAGTCACTGCTACCTATCAATGAAGAAATAAAATTACACTACAGAGGAATGTAGTTTAGGCTTTTAACATACATAACTTGCATTGCAGCAAACTTTAATAACACACTTATTTCTCAGCTTGTAGAAATCTGACTGCAAGATTCTGAAAGGTGCCATTGAGCAAATGTAATCCTGCCATAATATTTCTATTGTTCAGTTATACTACGTGTACTTCGCAATGGGAATGAAGTGTTCTGTGCAACATTTGTAGAGTTTTCAGTTATTACAGAAAATTTTTTTTTCAGTGTTTGGGAGATATTCACCTGCCACTCTGAATAACTCCAAAATACTTTGAAGTAGTGAACTATAATGACACTTAGAGGAATTACACTGTCAAAACTGTGCTTTTATCTGATAAGTTACACGATTCCTGTGAGGTCAATGTTAAGCAAGGAGAAGCACAGTATTTGTGTACATGAGAATATATCCTACTAAGTTTTTCAGAACACAGCAGTTTAAAAACCCCCACATTTCACTTACAAGTTGAGATTATTGTACATAATGACTTTAACATCCTGATCCAAAAACTTACTTTTTTTCCTAAATCTTTACATCTTCACAGTATGCATTAGTTTATACATTTATTTGTGTTTTTTAACCTCACATGACCACTACTTTGAAAAATCAGTTCAAGTCATGCATTTTATTATATATCTTAAAGCTAGAGATTCTATAGTATAAAGTTGAAATAAAACTCACTTTGGTGATTCTTGTTCAGATGACCTGTTAAAAAAACAACAAATAAATAGTAAATGAACCTATGTTAAATCTTCAGGTAAACAAGAACTAAGTATATAAAAAAAATAAAAAGTCAGTATTAAAGTCAAAAAGGCGTGTTCACTGTAAATTAAATAATACTTAATCCTATGCTTACAGTCTGAAACAGACTATAATGGAATTTGCGAAAAACTCAATAAAAAAATCCCAACTTTTTGACACAAGCTCAACTACAGACAACACATATCTGCTACCATAACTTAGACGAGTAATAGTTTACAGGGGCAATTATTTAGCAAGACACACTACATCATGTAAGAGCAGAACAGATGTTGACAGAGAACTTTAAGTCAAAGCATAACTAAAGCAGAAGTGGTTACACAGATGAGGACAACCTAGAATGGAAAAGAAATCAAAATTGGCAGTATATAGTATTTTCCAAGGCATTCAGTTAGCTTCATTAGAAATTACCTGAAACAGTGAGCTTAACTATATTACATCAATTCAAACAATAGCTGTGATACTAATATAAATTTGAAAGTAGATGTTAACAAAAAAGTTTTTGCAAAGGAAAGTAGGTTTCAGGTAGATTTACAAATTTAATTAAATAGTCACCAAAAAAAATGGAGTGATATAAGTCCATGCTGGAAAAATACAAACATGAAGTAGTTTGGTTTGAAGAGTTGTTCAAGTGTCAAGTTATAGGAGGCTATGTACAGTATAGAGTTCAACTTTCAATTATTGTTCTCTAAACCAACTTCAATACTAAGAATTATGCACTATGTTTCATCAAAACTACAGTAAAAATAGCAGCAGTATCAGTCAAGTTACCTTATATGTATTCTACAATATGAAGAAATCAATCCTTGAGAGGCAGAGATGGTGAAGCTTGATACCCTAAGAATTTGGGGAGGTTTGGGTTGTGTGTGGTTTTTTGGTGGTTTGTTGTTTTTTTTTCCAGGCACTAAACTTCTTCCTTTTTTACTGCAGTCATGCCCCATTGATTCCACTGACATCCACGCCCACACTCTCACAAATATTTCTCCTTGTTTGCAATCCCCATAGTATTTCCCCGTCAAGTGCCAGCAGTGCAGAGCAGATCCTTTGGGAACATGCTCTCATTTGCTGCCTGACCAGTCCACACCTAAATGCAACAGACAGTCACTGAACTTTTGCTGTAATTGCTCAGTGAGAAAAGAACATCTGTTTAAAGTGGTTTTTCCTCCTGCCTAGTCACTGGATTTCACTAATCTTACAGAAAACTCCATATCTTTGAAAACTCAACTCCAACATTAGATTTGACTGCAATTGTCCAAACAGTTTCAAGTGGGAACTGAGGCAGATAGGTAGTGCAATGACATAAGCCTTATTTCCTTAGGAAGTCATGCTAAAATTAAAGAAACTTTGAATTTATTTTTGTTTAATTGATTTCCTTGTGAGGCAAAGAACAATGAAATTGTATGCATTTTCTATGTTCTGGCCCAGTAGAGCTACAGGTCTACTAAAAAATTATGTGTAAAATTCAAGTTGTTATAAGTCAACCCTTTCAAAAGCCTTCACCACAAATCTACACACATAGAATTGTGAGGCAAATCAATATAATGTCCCTAGTTTAATATATTATCTCCCCTCTTTCCTTTCAATAGAGTGAGGTGATTTACACAGAAAAGAAACCACTTGGGCTTCCACTCATATAGGATGTATAAACATACAGTAAATTTTTCTTCATGCCAGTAATACATTTGTAGACTTAAATGTGGGATATAAATTCTAGCAATATTTTCTGAGGAATTATTGGTTGAACTACTGTGCTTTAATTCAAATACATCAGCTCTGAAAGCATTACTGAATCATTCTGTAACCTTTTAATGAGAAAAAAGGTAACCAAGAACTTGACCTAAAAAGCAACCAACTTCAAGGCTGAAAAGAATTCACCAGGGACAAAGCAGCTGTGTCTTACTAAAGTCTTTCATAGCTCAGCATGCAAGAGCTGCAGAATTTTGCTCTGTAACTCGGTGAAATAATATTTCTCACATTTAATTACTCACCAATATGATAAAGTAACTTGAACATGAATAAGTATGTGGTCATTTCTGGCTATACAGTATTCCACATTTTACTAACCTACCTTCTTATTTCATAAAATACAATAAGGACCATATTTTAAGTCAGTAGAAGACAAAACTCACCAGACCAGCCATTCAACTTTTTCATCTAGAAAGAGAGTTCTTCCTTGCAAGGAGATTAAGCTTTCCATTGGTGCAGCTAACAAGCAAACACTTTAAAACTGCAGGCAATTTCTCTTCCTTACTCCACAATATTTCTAAAACGATGCCATTTCAATCTTTCAGTTCCTATGGATTGCTCCGTTGGTGACGATCTTTACAATGAAACTTTTCCCTGAGAAATCTAACTTCTCTCTTCTCTCAGGAGGACAGAGAGGAAAGACCCCTCCTCCTCATTTTGGTGTGCCCTACCAGGGAATTCTGCTACTCTGAGAACTGAGGATGATAAACTACAGCAGAGTAAAACCCCAAGAGAAAATGGACAATTGAAACAATAGCACTGCAGCAGAATTCTCCCTTTACAAACAACTGAAGGAAACATCTGTAGGTTTTGCCCTTGTGCTGTTCTTGAAGTTCTTAAAGCTTCTTTTATTCTAACACCTGCAGGGCTGGGGAGACTGAATGTGCCAGCACTTCGATTATTACCTCTTTTCTGAGAACTCACCATTAACTCTGGGAATATTATTCATAAGCCAAATAAGTGGAGATATTTGCAGAAAAATCTTTTTGCTACCTTTTAGGGAAATTTATATGCCAAATATTCAGCACTTCTGTGAAAAGAACGACTGTGTAAGAAGGCCATGTAAATTCTCTGTGCTGCATACTTAAGAGTAACATTACAGAAGAACTTGAGGACTTCATGGTATACCCAAGTTTTTCAGTGATTTTCTATATATTCCAAACATTCACATTTGTAAGCTGCTGACAACATCACCCATAAACAGATACTTCTAGTCATGCTGCATTCCCACTATTGACCAAATTCCAGTTTACTGACTTTCCATGAAAGTTTCATGTATTCTGACACTGCAACCACTTGGCTTGCTGAAAAACTTGCCTGATCACAGATTTGCAATTCAACTTTGAAACTTTTCTTGTTTTTTGAACTGGCAAGAGAAGCATAATACATTTCAATAAGGACACTTATCCAAAAAGAAAGGTTTACATGTAAGCAACATATTTACATGCACTATTTTCATGTATTTTTGAGTGGAAGAGCACAGTAAAATTGATCTATTAGTAAAAAAAAGTCTGTAAGTAGTGGTCTTAAAGCCTCAATCTGAAACTAATAGAAATATTCTCAGATCCACTGCCCAGTACTAGCATATCTTCCTAGCGGAAGACTGAAGTACATAAACAAGGACAATGAACTCTTGTGAAATCCAGGAGACTTCAGAAGAATGAGGAATTGATCACAACTGCATATGATTAAAAGCTAAGGATAAATAACTTAGTTTTAAATGCTGACGGTGCTTTTTTGTTTGTTTCGTTGTTGTTGTTTGGGGTTTTTTTTTAATGATTTACAATTTTCTGGCAAGAAATTAGTTACTAGGACCTGGCTGCATACATCTGAAGGGTATTTTCATGAACAGTAATGCTTTAAAAATGTTGTTCACAAAAGGAATTATATTTGAGTTAAAATAATGATGTGTTCCCATAGTACATTCACCAAAGCTCACCAGACAGCTACAGTTTATTGTCTATCAAAACGGTAAGCTGAAAGAATTGAACAAATGCTACATACGTTCAGGAAATCTATTTTCAGTGCAATACCTTCACCAGATGATGCATCACACTTACACCAGGAGTGTATATGCACTTCCAGAAATTCATAGCAGTGCAAGTGAATTTCCTTTTTGTGTACTAGTTCATAATTTCCGTTCCCTCCCCTCCAACTCTGGGCCTGTACACATTATGCCATATATGTCACCAGTAAAAGACAGTTTTAGAATAAGTTAGAGAGGTTTTTTTTGCTTTGCAAGCATGTTTAAGAGAAAAGCTTATGCAGGAATATGTTGAATTAGTAACAAGTAGAATTGTAGGCTCAATGTAATTTAGACTGGCAGGGATCTTGAGAGATCACCTAAATTCTTGTTCAAAAGAAGAGCAAATAACAAAGATAGATGAGGCTGTTCAGGTCCTTATTGTGTTGTGTTCTGAGGTTCTCCAAGGAGGGAATCACCTTTCTGTCAGTGCGTATGAGAGTTTAACTGATCTCAGCATGATTTTTTGTTTCCCCTCAGTGTCTTTTGAGCATTACACTTGCTGTAATACATGTTTGTTGCCTCATGTGTTTTTGCTGCGCAACTCCAAGAAGAGTTGGTTCTTGATAAATCTCTTTTGGCAGAGTAAGGTAACAATGCAAGAGACCCCTCCTCAACTCCCCAAGCCTTCTTTTTCTCCTCATATATCACATGCTCACATCTATGAATAACTAAGCCAGCTTTATCTCACCAATCAATGCATGACTCTAAATGTAAGATCTATAATGCCTTGTGTGTGAGTAAGGTTTTCCTACCGATTGATAGTAAACCTTATTGCTTAGAAACGTGTTTTGTCTTCTTTGTGGTTAATCAGAAAATTTCACAGCTCATCTTTTCTGTTAGGCTACTGAGTCTACAGTAGAAAACTACCAAAATGCTTGATCCTATGCAGTCTGCTGTTCCAAATCAGACAGACATCCTTGTTTTATTTCATTATACAGTGAACAAGAGAAATTGAATGTAGTTGAGGTAGCAAGATCCTCCACATAGCTTTATCAGGTTACTGTTCCAAGTCAATAATCCCTTAAGTCAATTTTCCCTTAAGATAGCACCTTATATACATAATTAAATTTATATATTCTTACTAACAAGTACTCTTCCCACTCAGAAAAGTGTTCAAAACCATGAAAAAAGGCATTAAGAGGGAACGCAACAGCTATGTTAACACTCCAACTGTTTCACCTATAGCATAAAAAAACATTTTAAAAAGAACAGGCCATTAAACCTTACAAGGTCAAAAAAACAATCTCTGCTCCTCATATAAAGGTGAAATTGGTAGAGCATAGGTAAGATGAATAAAATTTTCCTGAATTGAAAGGAAGTTTCAGTAACTCTGCATTTAACATCTTGTTTGGAAGAAAAACCATCTTACTTGAATAAGACAACACTCAGTTAGGGGGCAAGTGTGGGTGTTGGCAACAGCGCACGGCCTTCTGACAAAGCCAGATTAAAACCTTAAATCCAAAAACAGTAAAGAGTGGAGGATACTCTTCCCTTTTCATTGTGACCAGTGGAAAACCATGCAGCTTCTCACATCTGTGTTCTTAGAGATTAAAAGTATCAAACACCACCACGGTTTTCAGTTTTCATTTCTTGTCACTCATTTGCTTTCATTTCTCATTGCACTGTGAAGTGTGAACATCTGTATCACACTTCAGGCATCAGAAGATTCTTGAGAAAAAGGAAAGGAACATACAGGGGAAAATGAAGTTCAAAGCTCCAGAAACACTGCTTGGTTACATGCCTTTATGTTTCCACAGCAAACCTTCGTATTTTAAGTTCACCAAATGTTTAAAACTTGTATTATCAAAAAATTTAAATCTACAGACTTTTAATTAAATATTTGAACATAAGGAAACAAATTCATTTTTTGTTGTTTAAATTATTACTTATTAACTTGAAGGTAAAGGGTAAGCTACTTTTTTTTTTATTTATTTATTAAATATGTCAATACTGGGAACTAGAACTTGCACTGGGGATGGATAGTACAGTCTTTCAAGACAAAACACTAACATCTGATACAAGATCAAGCACGTCAGAGGACATTATTCCAAAATGTAATCAGTCTATTGCCCCAGTTAAAGCCAAATTAGCTTTGAATGTTACTGCATAAATCAAAGAAATTTTGCAATTTCAAAACCTCGTTTTGAATCAATGTCACATACCTCAATGTAACTGTTTCATTTTCACTGTAGCCTTTTGCCTTAAACGACACAGTAGCATACAAATCGCATCAGTATCAAGGAAAGGCAAATGAGCAACCACGGTCTGTTTCTCTACACCAGTGAGCCTTCCCTTACTCCAAATTCAGAAACTGGTACCTTTATCAAGACAGACTGCAACAGTGGTAATCTTTGGCTACTACACTAGGCTAAAAAGAAGGAAAAGCTGAAAAAAAAATAATAATTCCCTGAACAAGTCCATCAGCTTGTCTTTAAAAATAACCAGCTGTGGTTTAAATCGGTTAAACTGAAAGGGAAACATTTTTCTCAAAGGCAATCTCTTCCACAAGCTCTATCCAGGCTGCCTATCATGATAGCAGATGGTTTTATGTCAGGTAGCCTGTTGGTATGACAACTTTGAAAAAAAAAATCCAAATTAAAGCAACTTGACAGAGATAACTTTAGAAACAACAAAGTTTCATAATATAACTTAATTTCTATCTGAAATGAAAGCCATAATGCATTCGTAACTCTTCCCTAATACCTATCTCAGTGTTTAAGGACATCTGAAGATAAGTTGTGTAACCTCATAGAGCAGAGTTTTCTACTCTGCTTAAAGTAAGAAATACAGCTTGTCAGTTGTAGCAGTGTTTCAATGATGGAAATGTAAATCTCAAGAAAAACTTAAGAAAGTTGAGGTCAAGACTAGCAAAAAGCTAATTTTAACTGAAAACCAGTTATCAAACAAGTGTACTTACTTATCATTATGTCTTATCTCAGCATAATTCTTGAAATAATTTAAAAACCAAAATAATTGTAGTATTGTGTGTATGCATGTAGGCATGGGATAAATGCAGTGACAGACTGAGTACAACACATAGTCAAGATTACCTGTTCTGAACTGGTGAGGCACAGCCACAATAAAGTGTGGTATAGCACAGAAAGCACCCTGTGAGACTTCAGAAGGCTCAGTGAGGGCTCCATGTCTGCATTAGTGTTAATTTTTCAGTGGCAGTAGCAGTCAGATGAAATGCACAGCAGCAGGGCAACAAAGAGGAGAAAGAACTGAGAGGGGAAGCTTCTTCACAAAAGCTGGGGAGCCCTGAGCTAAACAAAAGTCCTCTCGAGGTCCTTTTCAGCACTGTCTTTGATGACAGGTTTTGTATGCAGCTGTGATTTGAGATAGTTAGCTTAGATAGGCAAACCTACTCATGGCCTGTGAATAAAGCTCTATTTAATATATGTTAATTTGGGATTAGAGCAATT